GTCTAGCCAATAAGATGCTTGTTTACAAAACCATAATCAGACCCAAATGGTCTTATGGTATACAAATATGGGGACCCCACCAATCCTTCCAACATAAGATCATTTCAGTCATTTCAAGCAATTGCATTAAGACTCTTAACCGGAACCTCATGGTTCATAACAAATTCTTCCCTGCACAATGATTTCCGCATACACACTGTAAGCGAGTTAACGAAAATATAAAAATATTTCATAACAAATTATCAAATCATATTAACCCTCTTCTTAAAAATATGTCTTCTTATGATATGCCCGAAAATACTCCACGACGATCCAAATGAATCTGGTCAAGAGGTCTACTACATTGACAAAGTAAAATAATATAAAAAAAAAATTCGTTTGCAAAAGATGAAGATTTTCGAGAAAAATAACTAAATTTGTGAATTGATGTAAGAGTGACGGGTTGAAGAAAATTGAAATAAAACAGGTAAACACCGCAACAAATGTTCCTATATAGTGTTGTGTTTTTTCACGCGAAATGAACATGCATAATGTACGAGGTGATTATGTAAATTTACTTTAGAATGTCTCTACTGGAAATGTCAGTAGCGGGGTTCATCGAAGTCAATAAATGCTACAAAGTCATAACATTGAATGTATAAATATATAATACAAATATATGTGTCATTGCTGCGTTTCTATTGCATATTTTATTTTATATAAGTACTAGTCCAAAAATGTTTATTTTTTGTGACGTGCGCGCAGAAAAACCATCATAATCAAATTTTCTATGAGCAAGATTTAACCATACACAATTACTTATAAATTGCCTTTGTTATATGAATCGAAATCGAATATTGACTGTCAGCTGTAAATCTTAATTTTTAGATATGATGTGTGCGCTCTTTTGCAATGGAGACTAATTTTATATCGTGAGACATTAAGGTTTTGTAAAATATTTTACTATTCAATTATCAGACTCAAACATAAAATAATGAAATGGGTGTCATATACCTATATAAATTTATGTGTCAGTGTCGATCGTTAAAACGACGGTATCGTATTTGAGTATAAATCTATAAAAACAGAAACGAAATATCACATGTATTCAAGAAATACACATTGAATGAGGTGTGATGTAATATAAATGTGGTTTTTATTTTATTGAAGTTAAGAAAAGTCTAATCAACTTAAATTGTCACCGAAAGTTGTTGACTAACAAAGTTTTGGTTATTAAGAACATGAGCTGTTGTTGATATTATTAAAGTTTGCGAATAAACACGTCAGAACACAATTATCTCTTCAGCTATAAAATCTTAAGTGAATGTTAAGAGCAGTAATTCCTTAGTTCGTAAACACGCTTTAAACTTTAACATACTACTGATTCGTTAAAGTAACAAACCCTTTTGAATACTTTTTTATTACGTTAAAATACGAAGTATCTACTCGAAATTTTGAATGTTAGTAGGTTTATGCATATATGCATGTATATATATATATATATATATATATATGCATATATGCATGTATATATATATATATATACCATGGTACTATGGTAGGTACCGGTGTCTTGGTTTTATTACATGACCGTTATTTGAATGCGAATGTAATATATTAAACGGTTAAGATTCAGTGTCATAAAATTTCATTAAGTTCCTATCGGTTTTATAAATATTTTTCAGTATTATATAGTACGTGTTTATACAGCGAAATGCATATAGAAAAAAATCTGAAAACTTTTATATGGAATCTCATGAACTGAAATATTGAAAAAATTATATGCGCAATAGCGGTCCGGTGCGTTAAGCACGATTGCATTTTCGAACTTTGTCGTAATCCCCGTGAATTTAATAAAATACCGTAATTATTAAACAACGGTATTAGTGCGTGTGCCTCATAACACGCTTACACGTGTATGATCATATTATAATATGCTTACGTTTAAGTGAAAATATTATATTGATAAATGCGGATGGTGCACGTTTTTGCTACACAAATTAATACGTAACACAATTTTCTGGTATAAAATATAGATATGATAAAATGTTCACGTACGTCCTTTGTACACACGTGCATATACGAGTCGTCCCCTCTCCGTGGATATATATTTGTATAATGGCAATAATAGCAATAACAGTAATAGACGGAAATGACATTCGTTACGTTTTTTTTTCACTTGCAAGTACATACATTACAAGAAAGAAGGTGCGTGAAACCGACGTTGATAACACGTCATTCGCGGTTCAGCTGCGCACGGCACACGCACGTCATACACGCCGCGAAGGGCTCAAAGCGAATTATTCACGGCTAAATGGACGGCAGGATTCATGAAAATACATGAGAGAGAGAGGGATGGAAATAGCGAGTGAGACCTTGTCGTCAATTCAATACGGCGCGCGGGGTTCACACATTGATAATATAATACGGTGGCTTCATAATAATGGTATATAATATAATGTGTACGTATATGGACGTGTGTGCACCCGGTCTTTATATCCGTCCGCTTGTTATTTACGCGGACACGACCAGAGAAATAAAGAGATAAATCACGGGCGCAATCAAAACGGTTTGAAGCGAACAGAGCGCCGTTGTGCAGTAAGTACCTGAGTCCATACCTAAATATGTATACATTTATCTTGCTACAATATTTATAATATTATCAACTTTGATTTTGGTTATGCGTGGGGATATATGTGTAATGCGTATAGACACCTTCATGTTTTATAAGGATTCCATCGCAGTGACCAAACTACATTTCAAATGCTTTTACGGTTACTTGTTCGCTTGATTGTTTTGACATATTTATGTGCATGTATAGTGACTACTACCCATGTACAAGATTTTATTTTAAAATAAAGAATAAATAGGCAAATAAAACAGTTTTACATTTATCATCAACGTTCGATTAAACAATTCCTCAATAGTGACAACGATTTTTTTTCAAGTTTTTACGCTGGATCATAATTTTATTCAGTTAATTTTCCATAAGTTTTCATCGCTTTAATCTAAAGTGATTAATATACTTATAAAGCATAAAAGAACAGGTTTTAGCAGAGAATTAGTAAAACGTCAATCGGTGTTTTTTATTAATAGAATGTCCATGATACAAGTAACTATGTTACACTATACATACCATCAGGGCATGATCAAATGTAGTTGTTTTAAAAACAGTATTGATGGTATAGAATATATTTTATATGGAAATAACTGTCGCGGTATGTGTTTTAGCGGTACATCGAATTTATCGATATACGCAGAATGTCGTGTAAATCTATACAATAAAAATATAAACACTTAACTCAAAAGCACACGTAGAATTTTGAATTGAAAATTTAAATAAAAACGTTTTTATATTTTATGTGAGATCATTTTTACGTATAAATAATGCATAATAATATTAAATGTTTAAAATTTTCTCATGCTGTTTGAATTTGAGTTATGAATTTAAGAGAAAATCCAATATTACATAATATTACGTTATTATTATTATAATTCGTATACCTTCTTCGATATTATACTCCCAACTGGGATAATATGTAATAATATCTTCTTTCCTATGCGTGTAATAATTTTGGGGCACCACTACCACCACTAACGTTGCCGAAGCGCGTAATGGCTGCCTTGCCTTGCTTGCATTCCGTCGTTTATTTGCAACTCGCCCCGCGCGCATGTACATATTGTTTCGATGCTGAAACCGGAATTCCACGCTATAGCAAAATTTAATATGGTTACCGTTTGGAGCTCGAAAACCCTTTTTGCGGTAATACTGCCCCCACTCGTATCCACGCGTCCCTTCGCTGCGCGCCGACAATCCCTTTATCTAAATATAATAACCCCTATCCCTTCCATCCATGGTTCCGTTTTTACTTTGATACAATATTTTCTTGTTTCACTATGCTATGTGGAGTCGGTATGGGAGAAGTTTTTTTTTTTTTTTAATATATATTCAAACCTGCGTGTGTTGCAGCGTGCATGCATACGTATATAAACGCGAGCGAGTCGAGTAGAATAAAAATAAAAATGAAAAAAGCAAACGAAATATAAAAAAAATACCAACCGGGGAGTTTTACATCGAAAGGCCCCCTCGTAAATAATCCCGAGATCGCACTGTTACTCCGCCCACAGGATATGATGAAATAAAGATTCTTGTTTACTACTGGCCTATTCGGCATTATATCATACAGGTATGTATACCAGCAATTTCACGGTGTCTTAGTCACCACGTTTTATGTATAAATTATAATTTAGAATGTGCAGTGTTTTAATTATATAGCTGAAACTTGATTTCTTATGTAATTAACAACAGTGATACATGCGTGTACATTATTGAATTTGCCTCAGTGTCACTGCAGTGACGTGATTTCAGTTTTTTACAGAGTAGGACAGTCGGCATGCTCTTATTGAATTGCCGACTCTATGGCTCATTTAATTAAAAAGCCGATTAACGTAGAGGGAGGGGGGCATCTAACCAGTCCAAAATATAATGAACTGTACTTTGTACATAAGTTCCCGTAAAGTGCACGTCTCATTTTTCTGATTTACAACAAGTGGATGGCTTTGTAAAAAACGTAATAATATTTTGATGATGTGCCGACTTTGGAATAGTTAATCTCTAGACTGTGGCAAACGTATGAGTTGCTCCTTCGCATCCCTAATGACGCCATTGATCTGACTGCTTAAAATGGTGGTAAATCATATTTATTATATTTTTTCGGTATGCGTTTATAGATAGTGATATGATTACGTATTATACGAAGAATATACAGATGACAGTTGTATTTTCACTGCACATCATTACTTATTGCTTAGTTAAACATTAATTTCACGTTAAAACCCACACGATTTCGTGTCGCATTTATTACCGTTCAAATACTGTCATTGTTGGCGTTTGTCTTTCCGGCAAGTATAATTAAATATGACAACGATGCAGTAATAAAAAAAAAAAAAAAAAAAAAAACCAACTGCTCGAGCTTAACATAACAAACGTGAAGTTAATACGTATTGATCGGTGTCCTTACCTTTTTTGTCGAGTATGTCGGGCAACACGGTGCAATTGGCGGTGTTCGGGCTCAGCCTGCCGGTCGGCTGTAACGGAGCGAACGGGTTGTCAGTGGACGCGGGTGGATACCTGCAACGCGCAGTTAATATTATTATTATACCAGTAATATTGTACGAAAGGAAAGCCACGGTACAAGTGCGTTGCATACGAGTCGGGACGGGAAAAGATTACCGCCCGGTTAACTGTACCGTACACGGTGCGGTCAACCACGATCACATGCGTGTGTAATGTAATGCACATAAGTGCAATAATATATTACGTGCACACGCATAAATCACAATAATAATAATAGTAATGCACTCACCAAGGATTGGGTCTGGGCCATGTGCCGGCCGCTGTCGCCTGACCGTTCAGCAGCCTCAGCTTGTCGTACACGGCGTCCGTGCTGCAGGTCGGCGACACGGACGCCGGTGCCTGTTGGTCTTTTTGTGCCGCCAAATTGCGCAACACGCGGTTGATCGAAGACACCTGCGGCACACATGGAAAAATCGACGCATTAATATGATACAGTGTTGGAGGTCAAAAAAAAAAAATTGTTCAACGGTTTAAATAGTCGGCAGAAAGGTGAAGGAAAAGGAGAAGAAGATTCTCTTGTATTAACTTTGAACCGCGGTTGAATATTGATCGGATCGATCAAACACATTTCCTATTGAAAATCCACTATAAATGTACGTTTCCCGATTTCAATGTGATACTGCAGTACATAGACTTCAAAGTTTTTGATTATAAATAAGTGATTTAAGTGATTGGAGAGGGAAAATGTTGGAAACCTCATTCGGGAGCTCGACTCGACATTATAGTGTACATTAAGTATGTTATTATAATATAATTTGCCGCACATATTAAAGATTCTGTAGGATAAGTTACGCCTATATAAATCTATAAAAATAATACGATCTTGAAATTTGTGAATCCTAGTTTTAATATTTTTCTATAAATATAACTTTAATTCCTAACACAAGACGTGTGCGAATCATAAATTAAATAAAAATATAAATTTCTAGTGTAATATACTTTGAATGTAGTTTGTTTCAATGTAATGAATGAGTTTATGTTAGTGAAAAAAACCGATAGTGTTAAATCTTTTCAATCGCTTAACGGGTTATATTATAAAATAATTTTTTATTCACACTAATTTAAGCAATATATATATATATATATGAGAGACGTGAAATGCATTAGTAATATTTTTTTCGTAGCAAAGCGACGCGTCAAAAATGATATTTCGAGATATGTCTCTGATGAACGAGCGACGATAATAATTTCGAAAATTGTCAAAAAATAATTTCCAATCAATTTAATGTGCTCAGACTGGCGTCGCCATTGTCTTGCAGCCTACAAATATATATATATATATATATATATATATATATATATATATATACGCGTAAGAGACAGTCCACATAATTTCGTATCTCACTACAATCATAAATTCTATTTTTATACTTTTTTCCTCGATATTTTTTTTTTTTTACTCTTCGCGGTAGCGGAGGCGACATTCTCTTTGTGTTGGCCGTGCGAAGTAACCATGAATTTCCGACTAGAATAAATTTCCGTTGCTGTCGATTGTGGTAGTTGCGTTTTTCTTTTTTCTTATATTTATCGCGAAGACAGACGATTTATACCAACTACGGTGACGACAGTGTCCGCAGCACAAAAGAATAGTAACCTACGAGTGGTGAAACCGAGTAGGAGCATTGGTAGCACCGAGGAGACGAGCGTGTATGTGCGAATGTGTGTACGTCCATCTGTGCGCGCGTGTGTGCTCGTGTGTACGCGGTGCAGGAAGAAATAGTCTATAGGCGTCTCGATCTGAAGGGCTTCGTGCGAGTCTTGATGTGTGAGACAAACGAATCCATAATGCATGAGTTTTGTCACCCACCTCGTCCTTCTCAGCTGCCGCAGTTCGTACACACGCACAGCACCGAAGGGTGTCCTCTAATGTCGCCGTTGACGCCGGAAAAACTTTGGGGTTTTTCACACTTTGATTACGCATTCCCTCCTGTTTTTATATCCGCTAACACAGGCACACGCACACGCATGCACACTTACATACACACATATGAACTAGGGTGTTTTCGTCGCAAGTTTCTGATGTTCTTTCTTTTGTATAATTTTTTTTACCGAGTCTTACACACGCAGTGTAAAAAAATAGCCGAGATTTACGATAAAAAGTATAATAATATTGGTACGCAACTTACTGTCGTATTCGTATATATCAGTGGTGCCCTACCCGCGAAAGCATTCATTGTGACCCGTTACAGTTTTTTTAAAACGAAAAAAAAATATTAAAAACAAATAAAATTATTATAAAAAACGATTTTTTTTTTTTTTAATGCATTAATTTTATTTTCGAGTATCTTCCAGTATAAATTTCACGATATAACTCGTGCACTTAAAAGAGTGTAATGATCGAATGAATATGTACCTACAGCGTGTATTTCAATCTGTAATCTTTTCAGTAACCAATAAAATATTTGAAAATTAATTCAATATGTACCTAAATGAGCCTGAAAATAATGAGTAAAGTAAGAATTGACGAATGAAATACACACAACTCTATATTCCGGCTTGTTTTACAATTGCGTTTTCTTATTTATAATAAATTTTTCGACGATTTTGAGTATAGACGTTATTAATAGGTTTGTAGATAATAGTGTTCTCTTTCATTTGGTACAAATATTAAATCTAGGTATATTTTTGAAAACTGTAGTGTTATAAACGAGTCGTTAAACTACAAATTCGATTTGCGCATAAAATATTTTACTATAATTACTTTTAATCACGGAAATATAATAAAGTGATGAGTAAAATATGCAAGAGTAATATAACAATTCCCTTAACAGTCAGCGAAAACAGTAATAAACATAAAATGTTATATCGTATAACTAAGTACAGCAACTGGATTAATTAGTAAATTATATGTCTGCGATGTGGTGTGCGAGTTCAATTTTAAACCATGTGATGTCTTGCATTTAATAATTTGTCACATCAATCGAGATGACGCATCAACATAATGGCAACATTTATTTCTTTCTTAAAATAAAAAAGTTAAGTTTAATTATAATAGTGTTATTCGTTTGTCCACGCAGTGATAGAAACGATTAAATTAAAAAAAAAAAAACACACACATATAATTGTATGCATGTATAGAATTGAATTTATTAAAAAATACAATTTGGGATAATCATTGGCATTTGGGGTTGTGGAAGTGACTATCGGAGTGATGAAATAATTGGAATGTCGCGTGATATAGATGGTACAGCAGCAGTTGTCGTCATGGGATTGTTTAATATCTGATTGGATCTGAATTCACGATACGGGAAAAAATGTACGCGCATATAATACTTTCTCAGTAGGAAATTAAAACACTGAAACGACTGAAAAAAAAAAAAAACAGAAAAATAAAAGAAATTTTTTGTATTTACAGGAGGAAAAAAACAATGGTTCCTCTATTGAAAAAGGGACATTATCTCTCTCCATCATCAGCGACATAACAGTCGAACAATGGACACGCCGCGGAACAAATGACTCCCGGAGTTCACCGGCATAAAAGACATTTGTAATTGCTCTCTGCACGCATCTATATAGTTTCGGAACGGGGATAATATTTATTATTATTTTTTCCTTCTATATCCGAGATGTGTGCGTTTATATGTATAGAAAAATAGTAGGTACGTTTTCTTCTATTATTGCGAGCGCGCGCGCGCGCACAGAGCAGTGGACCGGTCGTCGCCGACGTGGAGCGTGGGTACGTCACGCGTGTGAGAAATCACGGAGGCAATATAACAACAATTCCAGGAAGTAGAAATGTCAAAATATTTTCGAATTCCCACAAATCGGGGGAAACGGACAATTCAAATCGCTTTACATCACAATATATGTATAACGCATAACGGGGGGTGAATCGCGACCGTTCGAGTCGGATTTGACGACTAGTTCCGCCACCGCCGCCAAAACGGTCGTACTACGATATTACGCATTACATACGTGTGTACATTATATTATATAATACGAAACCGCACACACACGAGCGCGCGCACAATTGACGGTTCGCTGTCTAGGAGATTTGTGTGCGTGCGAAACCGGACAAATTATACTTCGATTCGTCTGCTGTTTCACTGGGGTCGAACGTATATAAATATAATCGTTTTCGGTTGTACAAAGTATTAAACGTTTACTGTAAACATTTGTAACCGTCTTGACCGTTTAACATGATGATAATAATATAAGCGTTTCGGCATCTCTATCGTCCCGGTGTTCGGGGCGCATCGGCAACAACATTGATGATAGAATAATATTTTTAGACAAGAGCGTTTTCAGTGTTGCAAAACATAAGCTGGTCTAAGCCCTTTTGAATCCGAACGTTAATGCAAGTCCGTAGCCAGGCTAAATCTTCAGGTGGGGCAAACAATTTTGTAAGGGGGCATTAGAAAAAAAATCAATATTAATGATATTTTTAATATTTAATACTACTGTAATTTTTATAATAGATACTTTAAATTAAAATAATAAAAATTAGAATAAAGTGAACATAATTAAATTTTGAATATTTTTATAATTTATTATTTTTTGAATTTACCAGTTTTTTTTTTAAATTAAAATAGCTGTAATTTTCTATCTTTTTACTCGTTGAAATCAATTAATAATACATCCAAATTTAAATTTTTAGTCCATTTGGACTCAAACGCCAATAAAGCTAAATTGGATAACAGTTTATGTTTCATCAATTGCCTTTGAGGATTTTCAAGTTGAATTAAACAGGAAAATGACAAGTTGGAAACATACATTTTTAATGTTTATTTAGTCCAAATGAAGCCAAAGAAACATACTGAGTTCAGCAGGTATTCTTGTATGGTTACAACAAAACGGCGCAACTTCAAGAGAAACAGTCCCTCTGCTGCGTGAGAATTTTCCGGACAGACTAATCTCGTTGCGTAGCCAACTCGATCTTGTAACTTGACGCCGTGAGATTTTTTCTTATGGGGATACACTAAGTCACGAGTTCACCAGAATAAAATTCGAAATGTCTTGGAACTTAAGCAAGAAATTTGTCGTGTCCTCAACGAATTTGATGGAGCAATGTGTTATCCAATGATGGTAAATTTTATGAAAAGAATAATCGCTTGTAGGGATAGTAGGGAGGGTAATATGCCCGATATTGTTTTTCACTGTTAAACCTTAACTTTTCCCGAAGAGAATGATATATTTTTTATGTTTTTTTAAAAGAAATAAATTTAATTTATAGCAGATTTAAATCTTGCATTCTTTTTGAGACACCCTATATATAATTTTCTTTTATATAGTTTTTTTTACATAAATTGTTTCTTCTTTTGAAGGAATATTAATATTGAGGTTTTTAAATATTTTAAAATTATCGTGATTCGATTCATATGTGTTAGAAATAGCTTTAATAAGTTCATAATTTTTTTCAAAACGAGTTTCCATTTCAGATTTCATTATGTCAAAAACTTCATAAAATATACGTAATAACGTAATGCTTATATCGTTTTTGACATACTCGTATATATGGGTACCAGATTATTAATTTAAAGTATAATTAATACATTTTATAGGAGTGTTTTTCTAACGTTTTGGAGATTCAGTTATGATATCTGGTAATAAACTTTCACTATCTTCTATAACTTCGTTAAACATCTCTTTAATTCTTGATTGTTTTAAACTATTAATCGCACTATAAATAATTGAAATTGCTGAGGTTAAACTAGTTTCTCTTGATTATGAAACTTTATCAGTCGGTTTTATGTATCGTTTACATTTTGACAAAAGACATTTAGAAATTCTAAACGTTTTCTTTTTCATTGCAAACTGTCATTGAAAACAAATTATTTTCCATATACTTTTTTTAGACACTTTCATAATTATTATAAATAATTTCACATATTCATAAATGACCAGACCAACGTTTTTCAAATGATCTAACCGTATGTGATTAGACCTTTTATCAAGCAATAAATGATAAATATCTAACTATCACGGCTGTAAAAACCCACTATCTACTGCCATGCTGAGTACCAAAAAGTTATTACTTTATTAAAATTTGTTGAGGGGGAGGGACAACGATTAGATCTAGGGGGGCGATTCCCTTCCGTGGCTAAAGGCTGGTGGCCATGTGTCATTATGAAGACCGTCACGTTGAGACACAGGCAATGTTTTCTCAGAATCTCGTAGCGCGTAAACAATACGATACGAAGAACAGCTGCAGAATGTATTAGAAAAAAAAAAACCTTTCCCTCCAGACGGCGAAACGTGTATTTTTGTTATATTTACGCCGCTGTGATGCGAACGGTGTGCGCGCGAGTATTGTTGTCATGGTATAGGAACGGTCCGGAGCTTTACTCGTAAAGTCGTCGTCGTCGTGACTGGGATTGTATAAAACGTACCCCGGGGACTCGGGCGTTGAGGTGCGTGCGGTGAAGCCGCGGCGGCCGTTGAGGCGGGGGCTGACTGTTTGTTTGGGGAGCTGCTGAGGCGTGGAAAATACGCGTCCCCGCCCGTCTCCGTGTACACTTCTATTATGCTCCGCGCCGCCGTCGACGGGAAAGCGGCGGCACACCGGTGTTTTGCGCCCCTCCGACCGGCGTCTCTTTCCCGCGCTCGTACCGTGCGCGCCCGGTATCCCGTCGTCGTGCGGTCGTTGCACGTTCGGCGCGGTTCCTCGCTTCATTGACGCTGTCGCCGCGCTCCGCGCGCGTTTTCCAGTCTCGCGAAAACACTGTTTCCCGACGTACCCGCGCTCTGATGTCTGTGGATAATCGGTAAGTCACGTACGGCCGAGGACGTTATCTAGGACTTTGACGCGCAACTTTCCTCCACCGTACTCCGATCCTCTGCTTTCCTACCGTTGTTGTTTACCGTGATTTTTTTTTTTTTTATCGGCAATCGCATAACATTCGGTTCGAACGGTTTTAATTAGGGTCCAGGACACGTGTAACGGTTATTGTTTTCAAACCATCCGACCGTTCTGCTCCGACTGTACAACGATGTACGACGACAATTTATCACCAAGTATGCTCCGACGGTGTTGGCAGTGATAATTAACATAAATGTTTTTCATTCTCTCGTTCGCGGTATCACTGCATGTACCATTGTATTTCAACGCTGATATTGATATTACGTGGAAATGCTTTATTCAATTAGTTATAAGCGTTTATATTTTACATCGCCAAGTGCACACAATTACCCACTTTTAATTAAACAAATTTTGTATTCATGTTATAAAACGAACCTATGTAGTGTATATCAAATTAACATGGCCCCTGGAGGGTGCAGTACACTTTCCCGTGTATGGCTATTATTAAATTTAAACATCAGTTTATGTTGCGTTTTTCAAATTAACTTGACAGATAATCGTGTAGACTTTTAAATGTAAATGTGATGTACAGATCCTTACGTGGCACTGAATTGTTTAATACTGTATTATTAATAGCTGCAACCGCTCAGTAATGAAAAAAAAAAAAAAAATGAAATATTTAATATTTGAATAATAAAATTTGAAATTTAAGAACGTACTTTTCTTTCACTTGATGAGACAGATGTTTATAACTACAGAACATTTACACTGAATAATGTGTACAATTCATACTCGAATAATTATAGTATCGCCTCGTATGCGGAGGGCATTGTTTGTACAATGTGTAACGTTAAACGGTACCTAACTGTAAGATGACAATAACTCAATATATATATTAATATGTAGTCTTAATAAATTATTTTTTTTTTAACTGCGGAAAGTCTATCCAATGAACAATTAACAAAGTACACACATTCATTCGTTCAACTCGTAATTTTAATTAAAGACCTGTTCTCAATATTTTCAAACGGTGATGATGATTGAATAATTGTTGTGTAAACAATAGGGGTGAAAAATAATTTTTAAAATTCGCTATTACACAGTTGATTTTAATTCTTTTGTTTGTTTTTTTTCCCATGCAAATACGCGGCGTGCGCGTGTAAAACACACGATCGGCGGCGACGCGTTGTTGACATTGATTGGGAGAGGCGCGGTTTGGTGATGCGTAAGAAATCTGATTTGGGTCTCCCTTTCCGTGCGTCGTCGCAGTCGAGGCCGCGGTCACACCCGCGCACACGTCAAACTCCCTCGTGAAAAATAATACGAGTATACAAAAAATAGTAATAGTAGTTATAGTAACAATGGAACAAGATTTAAAACCAAAGTATTTTTTTCCAACGTCCTAAAATAATAAACGCTCGCGGCTGCTAGCCTGGTTAGGTTGTTTTAATTTTAATTTTAAACTAATAATACATTAATTTTAAGTATATTTTGACAAGGTGATGCACTAAAACCAATATTGTTTAACGTAGCATTAGAAAAAGTAATATGCAGTGTAAAAAGTAATTAACTCGAAATCAATAATGACAAAACCACGCTTGATGTGCAAGTGGATGTGTGATTTGCAGACGATTTAATTTTAGTGGGAGAAAATAAAAAAATGGTAGTGCAAAGTTCAAAAACACTTATACATGAAACAAAGAAGATTGTTCTAGAAATAAATAAAGAGAAAACGAAAGTAATGAAAATGTTAGAAATGTTGGTTAGAAGTGGGGAAAACCTTATAGTAGATAACTATGTCTTCGAAAAAGCCCAGAATTTCAAATATTTAAGAGTAAAAATCACTGGTAATAACGACTGGAATGCTAAATTAACCAGGTGTTTGGTTAAAGCCTAAAGGGCTTTTTTTACATTGATAAAATATTTTAAATTAAAACTATTTTCTAGAGAAACAAAATTACGCCTATACAGGAGTATTGTGAAATTAACACTAACTTATGGTTGTGATGTATGGTTAATGATAGTGCAAATTGAACAACAACCAAGAAGATTTGAAAATAAAGTACTAAAAAGAATATGTGGACCATAGTTCGATACTGTAAATATATGGCGTAGAAGATGATACGTGAAGATAAGGGAATTCACCAGAACACCTTATATCACAAATGATGTAAAAGGTCAGAAAATGCAGTGGTTTGGACACGAAATGAAAATAGAAGAAACCAATAAAGTTAGGGCATCAATCTAATACAAACTAAGAGAAAAAAGACCCAGAGCATACACAAGAAATAATGGGTTAAATGTAGTGTCTTAAGATCTAGAGAGACTAAAAGTAACGGATGAGATTGGGGACAAGAACTCAGGATTGTGAATATTGGCGGTTGGTGGAAGTGAAAGTCAAAACGGTTACAGAGTTCTCATGCTACATAATAAAGAAAATATTTTGAACCGATATCGGTGTATTGTTTCTCGAACTGTAATAATTTTAATAATTGTTATTTTTACGCGTGTAAATGAAATATGTCTACACAGAGGCGGATTTCCCATTAGGCACTGTAGGCATCTGCCTAGGGTGGCAAAGTTTAGGGGCGGCTAATTCTGTAATGTTTTATTAGAAAACATTAAACGTATGCCAAAAAAATTGGAAAATTATTTACTTTATATTTACGAAAAATAATTGTATAATAATGGGTGCATTTTGTTAATAAGTTATCGTCAGAATTTCGAGGAAAAATAAATATCCCCACTGCCACACTATACTACTAATTCGAATGTATGTTAATAATCTGATGCTGTTATTATGAAAATCTGTTTTTATTAAAATTTGGGGAACATCCAATGGCATTTTTTCAAAGTAGACTAATTAATTAAAGCGAAAAAAATAGTCTAAAAATTCAAACGAATGTTCATACGTTTGTATATTTAATATTTAGATTAGGTGTTTCGGAAGGGGTAATATAACTTCTTCGCCTATATAGGGGCGGCAAATTGTTGGTGCCTATAGTCGTAAAAAAGATAAATCCACCTCTGTGTCTACATAAGATCATGAGTGCACGAGCGATGAATTCATTAAAAAAAAAAAAAAAATCAATTCAGCTTTGTGCTTTTGACATATCAACTATATTATTTCGAATTACAATGCAAATAAACTATTGAAAAATATAATATAAATATGCGTATTTAATAAATTAGTTTATACTCGTATGTGTGTGTAGGTACTTACGCTAGGTATGTTGTCATTGGAGCAGACGCCTTCTTGGAGCAGTCGATCACGAATCTCCCATGCGAATATTGACGGACACTCGCGTTTATATTGAGATATCTTAGACACCACTTCAGCTGTTGCTACTCTGGGCTTGGAACCACCGATGGCCCTGGGTCTGATGGAACCGGTCTCATAGTACCTGAAGAAGATTATCAGTCGATCAAGCACGTTTACGGTTACGTTGGTGCACAAGAGTTGTGAAAGGTTAGTGTACAATGAATTGGTTATATTATTGTATTAAGTTCTTGGACGTTACGATGCTGTGTAAAGTATGTAGACTTTTAATAATCTTTTAAATATTATTTAAGTTATAGGTACGTATTGGGTTGAAAAAACTGCATTAATCGTGGATTAAATCGTTTTAGCATATTATTTGGTTAATAATCGATTTGAGCCATTGAGTATGCTCAGAACTAGAAATTATTTTCGTAAACAAAATAAAAATAAGTTTATTAATTCTACGTTCTTCCATCATATAATTGTACTTGCCTCCCTAAGATCTTCGATACGCATCCGTTGGACACCTGTAAGATTCTTGATATGTCGCAAGGTCTGGCTCCGGAATGGGCTAGTTCAACAATTTTCTGCCGCGTCGAGTCCGGTAACGGTCTACCACCGACGAACACTCCACCGAGCTGATTAACGCCACTGTGTCCTAAGTAAAAATACCATAAACCATGTTATTTTTTCACATTTTCACAAGAATAACAGTACACTCAGCACGACCGTAAGTAAACAGTTGGCAACACTGTACTGTTTTTAACAATATTAACCAGGATAAAAAGTACAGCAGAAGTGACAAAATCAAGTATAGTATAAAATCATTATTAGAAACAGGATTTTTAGATTTTAACGAGATGCCACTGTATATTTTTTACGACTTGATGTTTAATATATTCTCAATAAAAAAAATATATTTAAAGACCAGTCCGTAAGATTAGAATATTATTACCAATATATTTGATTACGCGTAAAAAATCGTTTTTAATTTATTTAGATTAGTTATAAAAGTTAAACTCCAGCTGTGGAAACTTTTTCTATATAAATTGTGAAAGAAAGGGCTTAGCTGTACATGGCGTTTGAGAGATTAAATAAAGAATAATAATCCTAACCATAGTCAATATTTTTAACAAGAAAAGATCCACTGAGCAAATACAATACAATTGGCAATATGTTATGCTCAAATATTATTAATTGATTACATTTATTTTACTGGTGGAGAAGTAAGAAATGTGTGCAAATCGTAAAATTAGGAAACATTTTACTTTTGAAGCATATTAATTGTATTTTTTTGAGGATGTTTTGATAGCATTTAAAAATACAAAAGCTACTTGTACATATTTTATCAATTTTTAAAAGAGTATTATTTCGAATATTATTTTCACATACATTATTTTAATGCTATACACTTTGAGCTTTTTTAAAAACATAAAAATCCTGTCTCCAGCTTATCTCGCATCAATATGTATGAGATGAGCTGCGATGCAATGGAAGATTATGTGTAATGCAATTGTTTGCACTACACACTGAGACGTTGCATTTTTAGAAGCGTGTTGAATGCACGGAAAATCGACCGTCACTTCTGTAAAGTTTTTTATTCTGTGTGCGTATAATATATACATTATTGTACTGAATGTGTTAATTATTATTTTTCGTACCCAAGTCTAATTCACGCGTTGCAATAATCCTACCATCGTAATCAGCAGTGTTACCAACTGAAATCAAAGAAAATAGCATATGATACAAGAGTATGAGTATTTTATGTGCAAACTGCTAAGTGGACAATAGAATATATATATATATATATATACTAGCTGAACCCGTGCACAAGGGAGTGTGCAGAGGACGCAGTTAGCGATGGACGCCGAGAAAACGTGTAGAGATATTAAAGTTATATACGTTGGACGTAGGTGTACACGAAGCTTAGACTGTGAAGGGGTTATGCACACAGTACAAAGTATACATGGTAGACCGTGGTCTATATGGAGCATAAATCGACAAACGATGAGATTTTCATTTCCCGATGAGGTCGGTAACCAATGCCAGACGTAGCGGGGGTGCAATACTCTAAGATGTCTCGAAAAACCGAAAACTAAAATTAAAAATTGTTTGTTTAGTTATTTTCTTTTCCTTATTTAAGTTTACCTACTGATTTACGTGCTTAAATTTCATAAAGTAGTCATCAAATGATCATCAACATGTATTAAATAAATACATAGGTGTTATATTCAGTAAATTTTTTTTCAACGACCTTCCAATTGGTATTTGCACCCCTGCCTCCGGAGACTTGGATCCGACACCATCGATATCGGTGTGTGGACAGGCGTACCGTACGAAATACTTCCCTTACCGTTCCCCCCCCCTTCGTGACGACAACGCTTTTGGACGTTTGGTTTTACTCCCGCACTGTTGCGCGTGACGGTAGACGTTTACGCGGCGATTAATCCGCCGTTGCCATCGCCCGGAAACATCGTGTAATCGGTCCCCGCGGACAAGAGGGTCAAACAGATCATTATTACGCTGCGGTTTACATGTGTACGGTCCGCCTCCGGGGAAATCGCTTGACCGTTCCGCGGCCGAGAATGGTTTTTTTTTTTTTTGCGCATCGCACCCGCGTCAGCCGGACATCCGGTCGTCCACCCCCGTCACCAGCCATCAGCAGCCCTCTACAACGTCATTTATTAATAACGCTCGCGAGTTAGGATAAAAAATACACATGTTTATATATATACATGCATATAAAAGTAATATTAATAAAATAATACATAAAACGGCGATACGACACGCATCCATTATGTTGACGTTGATTACACCGCGACGTTTATACGCTGTGTTATTATGTGTGTGAGATGTACGCGTTAAATATGTGAAAAATGAAACACGTTCAGTAAAGCTTTACATAATAAAATACTAAGCACATGATTCGGAGAGACAGTTTATTTTTGATCGAGACCGAATTTAATTCAACTACGGTTACATTGTGTACATTGGATTTTGAATCTATTCGATCACCGAGTTGAATTTCAAAATGATACCTACTTATGCCGCTCATATACTTATACATTTCTAGGATAAATCGATGAATACTTTATTTTTAAAAATAGTAGAAAGTTAAACGTTTTTTACACGAAAAATAAATACATGTAAATACATGAAATACATAAATACATGTTTACAGTACCGGTGTAACGACTTGTTGTTCTCGACCAATGTTTTTCGGAGCACGGGAACTTTTTTACTGGCGTATGTTTAAAAGTAGATTTAATAGTTAAAAGGTTATTTGAAGTTTCTCAAAAATTATTTGAGATTCTCCTCTGTTCGCTCTACTTTTGGAATAATACAGTGTAATTCATTAGTAAAAAAAAAGGTGAATCACTTCCAAAAAAATATTTCCTTATCATGTTCAAATATTAATTTATGTTTGTTTTTCATATTTATTCGTCATTTTATCAGTAATAGCACTTTTGTGATCTCTTGGTATAGAACAATGAAACAGAACAAGAAACCATCTTTTGCATGATCTGTAATAATGACACAAAAATGTGTTATCTTATTATTTTACCCCAATATTATACCATTATCAGACGTAGTGATTTTCTTTTTTACCTCTTATGATTTAAGACTTACCACTTATTTATAGACCGACTTTCACCCTAAACGACGAAATACTGTACAGACCAAACAGTGAGAGTCATTGAACCATCAAATTTTCGAAAACGTCTCATACAACGGAACTGTTGTAACACTCGTTTTGAGGTATTTTAACCGGCTATAAGTGTATCCAAAATGTTATCTGCCTACGATTATCGGGCTGAATTTACGCTCACATAAAGCGAACACTGCTCTCGGCCTCCGACCGTCTTGTAATGTCGATCTCGATGTTTGTAAATAATTGTTCGTCGGCTAAGACCGAGTAAAATTCGTCATCGAATAACTGCAATCCCGGATAATATTCATGCGATCATATGCGTTCAGTCGTCGCCATCGTCGCGTCAGGCTGTACGCGCATTATTGTTTTTGATCACGGTCGCTACGCGTATCATGACGTCCTCGACGAGTTGTATCCGACCGCAGGGATCGCAGATCGATTGCATAAAATCGTATTATTATCGCCGGAGTACGCCTACCGCAGTTTTTTTTTTTTCCTTACGCGTAACACATATAGTTGCAGCGCTTTATGTTATTATTGAAATTACCGTGTACAGCGTATAATACGTTGAGACGACGGCGGCGGCGGCGGCGGCGGCGGCGTTTGACCGGCACCGCAGTGTACCGTCCCCGTTGTCGTCGACATGAAACGAGAAACACTTCAAACGACTTGGCCGCGCGTTGCCGCCTTTCATGTCTGACCGGACAATATGACGCGATGAATTCGGTCGTCGTCGACCGGCCGGGAAGAGGAGGCGGTCGGGGGATATTCGGTATATTCGACACAAACGTTTAACGCGGTTTCGGAATCGTTACACCATTATATCGCAAACAGTGGCGGCGGCGGCGGCGGTCGCATTTGATACGACGTCGGATTATTATAACGAACGGCGGCCGGGGCGGATTGAACGCGAACAGGTGCTCACGGCGTACACACCACTGTAGGTATGACTCCGCTGCGACCGCGGTGCGGAGAAGTGCGTAGCGGTTCCTGCGGACGCGACTGCTACGGCTCCGCCGAAGCCATTCGTGTAACCGCCCATCACCCGCGAACGGTTGTTCAATCCTTTCGCGGTCCGCGATCGCTCTGCCGGCAGCTGGTGATGTCGAGTGCGGTACATCGTCCGCGCGAAAACCGTACGACGGTTACGCGGCCACCGATTGTTGCCGAACCCGTACCAAACGCGTAATATAAATCCTCCGCGTGGCGTAGGTGTCTCGTATACGTGCGTAATGACAGGGCCGGAACTACGGGGTGGAAGACGGGGATTCATCCCCGGGCGTAACATTTTAGAGGGTGTAATTTTCGTAATTATTAACATCTAATTTGATATTTTTAACTTCGTTAAATACTGATATTAGGTTAAAACTCAATAAGTACGATTGTATATTGATTATAAGAATACAATTTATTTGAATATTTGTTTATTAGTCTATGGATAGGGCGTAATTTTAACATTTTACCCGGGCGTAAAAATTCCTAGTTCCATCTCTGCGGAAAGGAGAGCTCTCCTAGGGATATAAATTACGTTATAGGTTTTTCCGGGATTTCAAACGTGATTTGTATGTCGTTTCGAAGAAAATGTCTGTTTTGAAATCGCGTCTAACTACTACTCGGCTCTAGGCCGTAACCATCTGATAAATATTTTTACTGCCGCGTGCAACGCAAGGTTTATTCTTTACTATTTGCCTGACGTCCATATTCTTCACTCGGTTTCTATCATGATTATTATTTCGTATTAAATATTGCGTGTCACGTTCTTTATTATTTGTCTATTGCGTTCGCGGCAAAACGTGATTTATTATGTTTGTATAAAATTACCACAACTCGATATTAGGTTACTTTATGTTTCTTGTCTTGTAAATTATAGGTAAGGCGTTTCATTTCCACGTCGTTTAAGACAACAACTACATAATATGTTCTATTAATGTATATTTATAAATAGTTAAAACTCGAGAATTTTAAAAGTATAAAAACTTAGTAAAATTGTCTTGACTTGAATATTGCTTATATAAGTAAAGGTTATATATTTTTATTAAATGTTCTACAACGATTTGCATCCGTCGTGTTAGTAGTTATATGTAAAATAATTTAATATTTTTTAATCCAGGATAAATTCTGATGTGAAATGGTCTCCACAATAACATGTTATAACCAAAAACAACGGATTTTTATTACTTTTATTTTTTGCAAATTACTTCGTTGAATGTTATACCCGTTTATGGTAATTAACGAGTGGAAAATTAATCGACGAGTTCATTGTACGTGTGTGTGTGTGTGATTTGAATATTATCATTAATCATTACATATATTGTATAGTCTTGATGTAACTTGAAATATTTCAATAACAGATGTTATAATGACAATTAAGACGTATATAACGTAATGCAGATTTGAAGTCGTCTAATTTTTTTGCAAAATGAATCATTTGTGGTCCAAATCAATCGATTAACATACTCTTGAATGGACATCGCACGAGGCCAATAGTACCTGTCAAAACATTGTCTGAACAAAAATTATACGAGATGTTATGTAAAATGGCGGCTTACATGGTTCTTAAAAAAAAAAAAAAAATACTGGACTACAAAACCCGGCGGGATTATAGATGGATTACAAATTTGTTAACACAATCCAGCGTGGTACACAAAAACATCCATTCACCGGGCCATTTTATTATTATATTATTACACGCTGCATATCCTCCGTATAATAACCATTGTCAAATATACCGTCCGTACATTATTATTATGTATATTTTTTTTCCTCTCTTGTATATTATACATATTTTCCGAGATTCGGACAACCCAATAGCTTGTTGTTCGCGCGCTGCATTGTACACGTTTTATATACAAGGCGAATAACAATAATTCTATACCGACTATAGTCAGTCGTGTATAGTATGTGGACGTATACGCGTGTATTCGAATTGATGTTTCAATATGTTATAAAGTAGGTATACCATCAAAAATCGCTACAAACTGAGTCGTGGGATCCATCGTCTGATTTAATTGTTCCCATTTAATGTGCAAAAGTATAATCGTTAAGTTTTTTTCATTGTCACTTAAC